ATTATCACAATATAATATAGTGCCCGCTACTCTACCTCTACTGACGAGCAGGAGAAAACTGTCTGCTTCTTGTTTTTTTAAGAGATAAAATGAGTCTCTCGAAAAGCACAGAAGCCCGTAGTAGATCGACCGTCACAGGCTCCCCCATAATCTGAATCTGAATAACAGGCTAGGAAACTAGTCTGAGATCCTGATGCATAGAACAACCCAAGTCTAGGACAATACTTGAGGTACCAAGGAATATGATAAATTGCATCAAGATGAGGCTGACACGGCTTTTGCATGAACTGACTAACTCGATTAGCTACGAATGAAATGTCTGGCTTAGTGTTGGCTAGTTAAATAAGTCTACCTACCAACCTCTGATAGACTGTCGGATCTCTCAACTTCTCACCTTCAGCAGTAAGCTTTAGGTTTGGAATCATGGGTGATGATGTCGGTTTGTACCCCAGCATCCCAGTGTTTGAAAGAAGATCCAAGACATACTTTCTCTGAGAAAGAACAACACCCCTGCTGTAACGGGCAACCTCAATCCCAAGAAAGTATCGTAAAAATTCAAGGTCCTTCACATCGAAAGCCTTCCCAAGGTTTATCTTGACCTGCGCAGTCCTAGAAATATCATTTTCAATAATAATAATATCATCAACATATACCAAAAGGATGACACATTGTCCACAAGAATTCCGTTGAATAAAACAGGTATGATCAGAATGACATCTAGTGAACCCCAAACGTACGACTACAACACTAAAGCGAGAGAAACAGGCTCGTGGTGACGGTTTCAGTCCATAAAGAGACTTATGTAGTCGACATACCTTTCCAACATACTCCCCCTCACCACGAAAGTCCGGTGGTGCATTCATATAAATAATCTCATCCAGATCACCGTGAAAAATTGCATTCTTCACATCCAATTGATGAAAAAGTCAAGAGTACCCGCAGCCAGAGAAATAATCAACCGAACAGTAGTCAATTTTACCACGGGAGCAAGTGTAGCACCAAAATCACGACCTAGTACCTAAGTAAAGCCCTTCGCTACAAGCCTAGCCTTGTGACGATCAATAGTACCATCTACAAGAAACTTCAGGGTGTAAACCCAGCAACAGCCAACAGGCTTCACCCTTGAAGGTAAAGAGGCAAGATCTCATGTATAATTACGTTGAAGAGCGTTCATCTCTGTCTGCATGGTAAGAACCCATTGGGGCTCCTGCATAGCCTTTGAAACAAAGCGAGGAACCGGCATATCTGATAAGGTCATGCTATAAGCTCGAAATGTAAGAGACAAATCACTATAAGAAATATAAGCAGAGATCGGATATAAAATCTTAGTGGGCCAACCATAACGAACAACTGGACGACGATCGCGCCGCAGATAACGACGTCCTAAATCATCATCCTCCACTGACAATGTCTCATCAAGTAACGTAACTGACTCAGTACTTGCAATCTCATTAGTACTAACAACAGGTGCATCAATATGCTCAACGAACTAAGAAGTATTACTTGCATCGCCTAAGGTAGATGAGACATCAACAGGGGGATAAGAGTAAGGGCGACGAACATAAACCTGCAAAGGAAGAGAGACTGGTGACTCTGTATTAACAGGGATGAGGGGCTCTGGAGGAGAGACTGATGACTCTGTAGTGATAGTGACCAATGGCTTTGGCTCCTGTGGTAATGAAAAATCAAAGGGAGTATCATCAACTAGAGGGGCAGACACAGGACTAGAAGAAAAATAAGGAATGTGCTCAAGAAAGGTAACATCTAGACTGTGATACATACGACGCTTAATAGGATCATAACACCGATATCCCTTAGACTGATAACAATAGCCCACAAAGATACAATGAATCGCTTTATCATCAAGCTTATGGCGAGTAGGAGATTGATCCTGAACAAAACATGTGCAAGCAAAAACACAAGGGGGAACCGAAAAAAGTGTCCGCTTAGGGAATAAGATCTGTAAAGGAGCTTTATGCTGAAGAATACGACTCGGCGTATGATTACACAGAAAGGTAGAAGTCAAAACAGTAAAATGTCAATTAGATTTTGGTATCCACATACCTCTAAGCATACAACGTACCATCTCTATTAGACTCCTATTTTTCCTTTCAGCAACTCCATTTTGCTCAGGAGTATATGGACAAATGAGCTGCTGAAGGATACCTTGAGAGAAAATGTGAGACACTAAGGCATCGGACACATATTCTTTGACATTATCTGAATGAAGAACACGAACAATGACATCAAATTGTGTCTTAATCATTTAGAGAAACTGTGTGATGACAAGGAGTACATCAGACTTACTATGCAAAAGGTAGACTCAAGTACAACGGGTATGATCATCTATAAATGTCACATAGTATCGAACACCTGACAAAGTAGTAACAAGATAGGGTCCCCAAATATCAGAGTGTATTAGGTCAAATAGCTTGGGTGACTGGTGCATGCGAGGAATATAACTAGTCCGAACACATTTCGATAGAGAACATATAACACAGTCAAGTTTACCACCAATACAAGTATTGCTCAAAGCATGAAATAACATACATAAATATTTAAAATTTGTATGTCCAAAATAATCATGCCACAACTGAACAGTTTGTGATGAAAAATCATAAGGATAAGTACTAAGCAATATACTAGCATGCAAGATAGGAACATATAAAGACAAAGCAGGTGCAGGTGATGGAGGTGGAGAAATTGGTAAAACTGGAGATGGATCGCCTAAATAATACAATCCATCTCTCTCATGTTCCTTGATAATAATCCTCTTGGTACTTAGGTTCTGCAAATAATACGAATCAGATAAAAATACAACTGCACAGTAAAAATCTCTGGCTAACTGATGTACAGATAATAGATTCATGGCTAGTTTTGGCGCATGAAAAATCGAATGTAATGTAAAGCTATCTGGGAGGCGGACTGTACCTCTACTAACAATAGGGGTATGTGTCTTATCTGCTAGCTGAACCTGTGTATGTAACTGCATGTCAAAAGTGGTGAAGTGATGGGTCTCACCTGTCATATGACCATTCGCACCCGAGTCCAGCATCTAAAGGGGAGACGGACTGGCGCAAGCATGAGAGCCACGAGGTATACCTGTAGTGGTGGCAGTAGCAGTAGTCGGATCTTGAGAAGTTAGGGCAGATATAAGTATATCCAATCGAAAAGTGATAGCATCCATATCACTCTACTAAGGAGGCGCAGCACCGGGAGCAGCGACAGTAAGTAGTGGTACCTCACCAATGGCAACAGTATGGCTGCGAGAAAGTGGCTTAAGCTCCAGATAGAGCTTCTAGCAAGTAGTCCTGAGATGTCTTGGTCGGCCACAATAACCACACTGACGAGAACTAGGAGGAACATTCCAGGTGGAAGTACTAACAGCATAGGTAATAGTCATAGCAATAACAATACGTGGACACCCGTGACAAGAAAAAGAATGACAAAATAAGGGAGAACAATATGTCTTCAGTCGAATTGTAGCGACAGATAAAGAGGGTCTAGAAAGTTCCCAAATAATTAGGCCACGGTGTCCACAAATTGAGTAAATATAAATAAATAATCTACTACATCAAGAGTAGATCAACAGAAAAGAGGATTCAACCCCTCTTAAAAAGGCGAAAAAGGAGAATAGTGGCGCAAAGAGATGGCAACACTACGACAAAGAATGTGGAGCACAAAGGTAAAACACGAAGCTGCGAGGAAGAGCACGATTTGGCAGTGGGCTGGTTCACTGGCCGTATCTTTGGTTTGCTGGTTTGATGTGGGTTTTGGGTTGGGCATTGGGTTGGTTGGGCTTTGGGTGCAGTCGGCTTTGGGTTTGATAGGTTGGTGTGTTATGTTTGCGGTGGGGCAATATGTTTGAGAAGGCAGTCGGTGCAATTTGGAATTGCTGTTTGGGTATGTTTGTCGGTGGGGCAATATGCTTGAGGAGGCAGCCGGTGCAATATGGAGTTGTTGTTTGGGTATGTTTGTCGATGGGGCAATATGTTTGTTGGTAGGTATTTTTTCTGTTTTGGTGAGGAGTTCTTTGCTGGTTTGTTAGGCAGTTGGTGCAATGGGTTATGGAGGCTGTCGATGATGGTGAGGAGTTCTTTGCTGGTTTGTTGGGCAGTCGGTGCAGGAGAGTGAGGCTGTCGGTGATGGGCTGGATTTAGGATTTTCGGTGGCAAGTTGCTGGTCTGAGTTCGCTGGAGTGAAGCTGTGCCGACTGACTGATTTGGTTGGTCTGGGCAGTCGTGGGTTAGGGTTAAGGTTAGAGTTGGTGGCTCTGATACTAACTAAAAATATTTGTGAGTGAATGGAATACAAACTAAGTGTACAACCCCCGTTTATATAGCCAATAAAAAATACAATAAAGGTCAAAAAGGTCAAAAAAAAAAACTATAATAAACCCTAATAAACTAAACTGCAATATCTCCAACAATTACAAGTGTTTTGTATCGGTTCTAACTCTAACCCTCAAAAACTTGGTTCAATCCCAAATTTTTTATTTCAATCTTAGCTCAATCTATTGAGTCGTAACTTGGAATAAATGCATCGTTACTTAACCTCACTGTAACTTCTGATATAGTATTGAAGGATTAGCACAAGGGACCAGTAGAAAATCAGCCACAATCCACTTACAAGTTGAAAAAGAGGTAAAAATAATTGCAACACTGCTTGTTCTGCAATCCAAATATACAATATTTGATTCAAGTTGAGTAAATTACATGACCTTTCTAATCTTGTCAAATATTTCTCTACAAAATTTTATTACATAAGCATGCAAGAATAATGAATAAAAGTGATACGAAATCTAAACTTGAATTCGCCATACGATGACTTCACCTCATATGAAACTCTTGGATTTATACAGGTGAGACCTGAACATGGATGATCTTTCACTGATACAACTTCATCTGATTTTCTTTGTTGTCCAAGGACTGCTACATACATCATGTGCAAGTAACAATTTCTCTCCATAAATAAAGGAGCAGGAATGGCTCAACTGATATTTAAAGGAGAAGCATGAGAACCACTAAGGCTGCAAAGAGCAGAGGAAACACTAAATGTTCACTGTACAGACCTGCAAAGACAAGAAGGCCAAACACAAGCAAATTCAATTAGAAACATAAACCTCCTCTCTTCCATATTCCGAAGCTTACAAAAGTGAGGAGGCAAAGACTCAGTATATGGTTTTGTAAATGGCTTATTCCTTTCTTCTTCTGATCATTTTTTTTTTAAACTTCAAAACAAAGAAAGAAAGAATTTCAGAGGTATACAGTAAGAGTGATTAGAAAAGAATACCACTTATGTTTACCAGGGCAAACAAAATTGGACCAGTTCTTGCAAGTGGTAATTCCCATTTATTCCTTTCCTACACTTCTTGGATTCAAACTAGCTTTCAAATGGATGATAGATCCTCTCACGTTGAAGATTAAGATAATGAGAAAGCACTCGAGTTTTTTCAGAATGGTCAAGTGAAAAATGAATTATTAAAGACTGTTTTCTATCGTCTCAACTAACTACTGGCTTATTGCCAGTGCCCCCCAAACTTTGCAAGCAGACGATTTCACAAATCTAGCACCACTGCCTGTTTTGTGCTCAAGAAAAGGGGGAAAGGCACATTCTCAGTCATTATTCAAAGCTTTTTGCCCACAATTTATTTTCACAAAACAAAAATCACCATTTCTGTCGTCCTTAAAATCGTAAATGCTTATCGAATCACGTCTATTCTTTTTTCCATGCTGCTATCTCACAAGTTTTATAGTTTCTTGAGGCTATTGAACAATTCGTCCAACTAAGTCTGGGATGACAGTATGGTAATGAGAAGGCACATCAGACCAATGGTCAAGGCAAATTATTTATCTTGGCAGACAAAATAACACCACAGATACACCACCACCATGGTTGTGGGGTGTGCAAAGACTTCCAAGATTGGTTGCAGATAATAAGGGGTTGAAGTGGACGGATAGTTCCGAGTTTGATTTGCTACTTCTCAGATGGGGTTTCCAAGTTTGATCCCTTTGATGATGAAGGATTTGAGGTTAATCAAGTAAACCATCTTTCAATGCTCCTTGTCTCCTGCTTTGAAAGAAGTTCATGAATTTAACTAGAGGAGAAGGGATCTTATAAAGCTAGTGCGCAAAATCTAACTAGGTTGACTATCTTTGAGGGATTGACAAGCCAGTGGACACCAGTATTAGTAACCCATAAGTCAAATATTTTACTACAGACCCCAACATTCTATAAGTTTGGTGTGTGGATTTTGATTTATGGTTGATATTTTTAAAGGTAAACATTCATTTCTTATTCATGTGTTTAGGATTATTAGATGATCTGTTGTTGCATAATTTTTCTCAACATTCAGATGGTATGAATCAGCAATTGGTCACTTCATTTGCTGCGATGCATGTAGGTGCCCCACACAATCCATTAAGTTAATGCCTCAAATCCTGTTGAACCTCACTTTGACTACTGGTGCAAAAAATAAAAGCATAAATGTGAAATTTGGAGAAGTAATGTGCATGCTTACAGCTTTGCCCTGATGCCACTGCAGGAAGTGCAGGAATTTTGACAGCTACAATGCCAAAAAGTTCAGATATAAATTAGTTTTCATATCCAAGGGAAACTAGCAGAGTTCGCATTATTTTACATCAGGAAAAAACTTTGATAAACCAATTTAACTAAATAGATATAATCAGGTCCACATACTTTTGTTGCATGATGAAGCCGGTAATTGAGAAGTAGAGGGCCAAGGAGCTGGAATGTTATCATTCAAATCACAAATGAAGCTGACTCCTGACGATTTATCAAATGTTATATCTGAAGGCAAGCTCGGCAAAAGGCAACCGGACTCTATTTCCAAAGCAAACAAAGAGAGGTTTAACTGTAGATTCTATTCAATAAGGCAAGTTCTGTACAGAAGCACATCATACGAAGAAATATTTGTAAATAGCTCATTAAGAACCAAAATTTCAAAGCAACCCCCCGGCCCAAAAAAAAAACCGAATGGTTCCCCTAGCATTTGTCTATTTTTTTCTGGTGATTTGATGGTCAGTTGAAATTAATGCAATCGAATGCTATCTTTTAAAAACTTATCAAAACAATTTATCTTTTGGTTCTGTTTTCTGAGTTTCTTGCTCCATAAGAGAAATATAAAAGGTACTGCAGATTGAAAGAATTCTGAAAATGTCAGGAATATCAAGCTACTACTAGATTTCAAACAAATGTATACTGTGATTTGGCAAACGAACTTGATCTTTCAAAAAATTTTGACTTGTCATCTGTTTTTCTGTCTGGAAAAAAACATAAAACATAAACTATTCTAGGAGGAAGATATCAATGAGGATGACAATCCGGATGATGGATGAGAAAATGAGTGTATTGTGAAAGTGATAAGAATACTTGAATGGGACAAAGGGACATATGATATTCTTTTAATAGACTGTGCAGAGAGGAGAATGTTGGATATGATTTTGCTTATCTAATTGTCATGAACATTGAATACCCAACCTAAAATGTCACACTGGGGTTGTCGATAAATTGTGTCGTGATGAGTTCATACCGTGTATAGGTCGTGTCATATTGAAATTTTCTCAACCCATACCCGACCCATTTATAATCATGTATAATCATGCACAGCCAGAATTGTGTTATTCTGAGTTCATATGGTGCATAATCCATGTGTCAATCATGGTTGCAATTTTGTGTTGTGTTTAACCAGATTCATGTTCACCCATTTATTTGATGGGTCTAACGCGTCCACCGGTTTACCACATGCACCCAGTAATTCTATGTTAATTTCATGTCAAGCTCACGGATCATGTCTAAAATTGTGAAGCCTATATAACACTATAGTAAGTTAGTTCAGTAGCACATATTAATGTTTTAGACTGCACACTAGATGACTGTATTCATCAAAATCTATCATGTTGCCAATGCCTTGTCTTGACCATTCATGACTTTCTGAAGTTTTATGAGCTTAGCATTGCATTTTTAGTAAAACCTATCCAATACAAAGCAAATGGTTCCTCCTAACTCCAATGCAAAAGTATGAACCTAGGCTACACTGATCGCACCGACATCAGCTCTTGAGAATTGAACATGGTTAAAACAATATACACCAGAAAGAAGAAGATAATTTGTGGTTAAAATCTAGAAGTAATTGAGTTGATAAAATCAAATGATCTGAGGGCTACATAGGACTTCGGAGGAGAACAAAATAAATTGTAAACTTAGAGGATTAATTAAAGGACATTTAGTAGAATAATATTGCAGCATATCAAATAAAATAACAAATTACCTTGCATTCCAATTGGGGCTGTCAAAATGAAGATTGCCAGATCCAATCAACATGAAAGATGACAAACAAATCATGTATTGATGTCAGCTTTAATTTGTGTAGAAAATATACTTTTTCTTTGATAATTGAAGTGGCATAGTGAAACAACGCTAACCTTGGAGGGAAAAATCCTTAAGGCTAATATGGCAAAGACTATAGACATTTTTGGTTATATTTGCTTTCTGTAGTTTCATTCCAAGTGATGCAGCACAATCCAAAGCTTGCAAGTTCGTTATGAAGCTCTGTTTTTGCAAGTGTGCCACATAGCTGTCCATCGCATCACAGCATGCTGTCTGGTTGCTTATCCCATTTGCACAGCCCTTTATGACATGGCTGTGGGGGAAAACCAGAGGGCAAAACTGAAGCAGAAACATAGAAATATTACAGAATCAAAAACATAAAAACAACATGCAAGAGGCCAACTGAGAGT